CTTTGACTAGGCCACTCCAAAGTCTTCATTTTGTTGTTCTTCAGCCATTCAGAGGTGGATTTGCTGGTGTGTTTTGGGTCATTGTCCTGCTGCAGCACCCAAGATGGCTTCAGCTTTAGTTGACCAACAGATGGCCGGACATTCTCCTTCAGGATGTTTTGGTAGACAATAGAATTCATGGTTCCATTTATCACAGCAAGCCTTCCAGTTCCTGAAGCAGCAACACAACCCCAGACCATCACACTACCACCACCATATTTTACTGTTGGTATGATGTTCTTTGTCTGAAATGCTGTGTTACTTCTACGCCAGATGGAACGGGACATTTGCCTTCCAAAACGTTCAACTTTTGTCTCATCAGTCCACAAGGTATTTTCCCATAAGTCTTGGCAATCATTGAGATGTTTCTTAGCAAAACTGAGACGAGCCCTAATGTTCTTTTTGCTTAACAGTGGTTTAGTCTTGGAAATCTGCCATGCAGGCCATTTTTGCCCAGTCTCTTTCTTATGGTGGAGTCATGAACACTGACCTTAATTGAGGCAAGTGCGGCCTGCAGTTCTTTAGAAGTTGTCCTGGGGTCTTTTGTGACCTCTCGGATGAGTTGTCTCTGCGCTCTTGGGGTAATTTTGGTCGGCCGCCCACTCCTGGGAAGGATCCCCACTGTTCCATGTTGTTGCCATTTGTAGGGCTGTCGCAATAATCGCAAGAACAATATATCGCGATATTAAGAAACCTACCGCGCTGCATGACGTGCCACCGCAATTACCGCACTTGATTAAATCTCGCGACAGCGCATGCTGAGAGGTAAAGTCCGCGCTGATCGAGGAGATAGTAGGGCACTTTTTTTTATTTCTGTTAGATGTTGCAGCCAAATTTGCATTTCAAAGTTAAACCTCCTGAATGTTGTTTTTAAGTTCAGTCAGAGAATGCCGTTCCTGCCCTTTGATCTGCATTCAATAAAGTGTTAAAAATGGCCATGTATTTTTTTCTAACATTTTTTAAATGTGTAAGCACAATGTTTCAAAGGAAATATTGCCATGAGTTTAATAAAAACGGGGTGCAATAATATCGCATACCGCAATATTGAGCTGCCCTGACTCACCGCAGGGGGAATTCCTCAATCGCGACAGCCCTAGCCATTTGTGGATAATGGCTCTCACTGTGGTTCGCTGGAGTCCCAAAGCTTTAGAAATGGCTTTATAACCTTTACCAGACTGATAGATCTCAATTACTTTTGTTCTTGAATTTCTTTGGATCTTGGCATGATGTCTAGCTTTTGAGGAGCTTTTGGTCTACTTCTCTGTGTCAGGCAGCTCACATTTAAGTGATTTCTTGATTGAAACAGGTGTGGCAGTAATCAGGCTTGGGGGTGGCTACAGAAATTGAACTCAGGTGTGAAACACCACAGTTGGGTTATTTTTTAACAAGGGGGGCAATTACTTTTTCACACAGGGCAATGTAGGTTTGGATTTTGTTCTCTCCCTAAATAATAAAAACCATTTCAAAACTGCATTTTGTGTTTACTTGTGTTATCTTTGACTAACGGTTAAATGTGTTTGATGATCAGAAACATTTTATGTGACAAACATGCAAAATAATAAGAAATCAGGAAGGGGGCAAATAGTTTTTCACACCACTGTACATACATAGACACATGACAAGAATTGGTGACTGTGGTCATTTGCAACCCGAGTCGCGTTACCACAAACTTCAGCCTTTTGTCCCGCAGCAATGGATTGTGGGTAACACACTTCACCCAAGTAATGCGGACTTGGGTGAAGTGCGGATCAAGGGTGCTAAAAAAGTGTGATCAACTTCCGCAATTGAGAATCGACAACCTACGCACTGGTCGGAATTGCACAATTGAAAGTGGGAGTATTGGGATTTGGGCCTTAGATGCTATGTTTCCTTCTATGGAAGCCTGTGAGGACAAAATGCATTAACGGATTTGTAACAAACTGTTACAAAACTTTCACCATTCCTAGACGTTGTTTTACACATTTTCCTCTTCACTCGTTGCCAGTGATAAAAGGGAGTCTGATGTGTTTGTCATTTTGCTGGAGGTTGCACTCCCAGGGATTTTTGGCCCTAATGGCCATCTGTTGGTAAGATCTTACTCAAACACAAAAATACCGCTTCCTGGCAAGGATTTAGGTATGTACTGCCCCCTATCACCATGAAATTCACTTTAAAAACAATATTAATTTTTTTCTATTCAGATTTTTTTAGGTAAATGTGATTTTTCCCTGACTCTTATTGTGAAGGATTGCAGGAAGTTAACTGAATTCCATTAGAGAAGACACTTGCCTGTATTATTATGCTATTTTATCATGTCAGTTTGTATATTTAACAAAATAAAGCAAAAAAAAACATTCGACTCAACCTGCAACATCAAAAAAGTTTTTTTTGGAAGAACTTCCTGATTTTATTTTAGCATGTAGAAGCTAGCCTTAGCTTAAGCTAGTTTAGCTTTTTGAATTGAATTTTGTGACTCGTTTTAATGCTTCAAATACCGAAAGGATATATATTATGTTACAAAATATTTATAATGCATTTTTAAATGAAATAATCGATTAGGAGTTCAAAAACAGTGTGTGTGCTAAAGTAGTCATGCTAAACGCTAATTAACTTGGATAAGCGGAGGGAATCAAGTCTCATACAGCATGAACTTTCGTTTTGAAAAAACTATTTGAATTATTTAATTTATCGGAACTGCGCCGAAAAAGGCGACATTTAATGGATAATCGTTTATTTTTCTCTGCTTGACTGTGAACTTTGTCCGTTTTCTCAACTTGACTGTGATTTTAGCCTCACTACCGTTATGTCAGCGTTTCCATTTGGATGAAAACTCACCGGTACCATTCCTGCTCCTCGGTTCAAACAAGCTCCCGTCCCGTCTGAAAAATAACTCCCGATTGTCTCCTCTTCTCTCTTCTTAAACTGCATACTTCCCTCTTCTTTTTGTCTGGAGATCCACACCCTCCTGCTGCCGTTTCTCCCTCCGAGTCTAAACTCCCAAACTCCGCTCAGGTCTGACAGCCCACCCGCTTCTTTCCTTCCTTTCTCTCTCTCGCGCACGCGAACACACACACACACACACACACACACACACACACACACACCTCGGCATCAGGCTAGCCTGGCCAGCCAGACCGTTTAATTCTGCACAGAGATTCATTTTCTGTGCAGAATTAAACCGAGTCTGGCTGGCCAGGCTAGCATCATGCAGCGGACGGTGAGGTTCTGTTCACGGGCAGAAATGGGTCAGAACCTCCTCCCATCTGCCCCTCTTGACCAGAAAAAGGCTTAAATGTTTGGTTTAACGTGTTGAAGAAGTTACCGGAAACTGGCAGTTTAATAATGAAGCGATTTTTCCCAGAAGGCGATCAGAAGATTTTAGAGACGAGCGCCCCCTGTCGGTGATACGAGGACTTTACTGTAGGGGTGCCCCAGTCAGCAGCTGCTGATGAAGTTAAAAATGGTAACTGGGAGCTCAAATTCTCACAGACTGTTATTTTAAAAAAGCAGATTTTTAAACTCCGTTCATAAAACGTGACTGAACTAAACAAGACAGCAGAAGGCGACCCAGATCCCGATAACAAACTAATTATCAGAACCAGAATCCTCCAGTCTGGTGGAACCAGAATAATAAGTTTCACAGCTGCACACATTCAAAGACTTTACCATTAAAAATTGTGTTTAATATATTTTTGAGCAAGTTAAAGAGTAACGCCTAAATCAGCTTTATTTTGATGATAAACTGTATAGATGAGAGTCTAATAGATGCGTCTAGTCATTGTTTGGCATTTTAGTGAATTTTAAAACAAGGAAATTTGCTTTGAATCTCAGAACTTTTGATTATTCTGTTGACATTTGAAGGAATTGTTCTTTACACATAAACAGAAGCCTTGAGTTTATTGCAGCAGTAAATAAGGATAATAAATGTGTAAACAGCAGGGTGTCACCCACTCACAGAACCGGCCTGTGTTCTGTAGCTTAACAGCAAGCTTAGAAAGGTTCTGATGCTGTAAACTCAGCAGATTATCACAGAGCCATCGTCTGCTGCCTGATCCAACGATCATCTCTTTAAAGTTGTATTTTAAAATAGAAAAACAGAAAAATGCTGGAAATCCGTTAACCCACAGTGGTAACTAGCCAGCAGTATGCATGTACTATATACATAAATACATAAATCATACACACATGTTCAGGGTTTAAAATAAAGGGAGTCCAGAATGTAACAGGACATCAGCGCCCTCTGGCGTCCGTAGGGACTACAGCACCAGGCTGTCAGAAGAAATAAGGTTTATTCATATTTAATCAGAGGAAAGTTTGATTATTTTAGCGACAGTTAAGAAACACCAAGGCTGCCAGTTTGGAGCCAAAATGTTTTATTTGACATAGTTACCAATAATCAGGCAATTTAAACAGATCTGGGTCCTTTTCAGATTTATAATGAAGTCTATAAATAATCTGGATTCTTTAGTTAAAGGGTTAACCGAAAACAATTTAAACTTACACAATCTTACTGAATTTATCAGGATTTTCTGTCAAATATTTTAAATTAGACTGTTCAGGATTCACTTCAGTCAAAAACAACTAAAATAACTGAACAAAACAGATCTAATCTATTTTAGACCGTCTTACTATTAAAACAGTCAAAACAACTAAATAATTACTCACATCTGAAAAAAACAAGTGTAATTGCGTGAAAAGATTTTTTTTTATAATTCTACAAAATCACACCTGCTGAATAAAACGTACACCCAAATAAATGTCACCATGGCGCTTCGGGGCTCTCGTTTTCAGGTCGATCAATAAAAGCATCGATCTAAAACAGGATCAGCACCACGGACCCACCGACGCCTTCTGGTTTAACACAACCAGGCTTCACTCGTCTGTCTCTAAAGGGCATTCTGTGTAAAAGTTACACGGCTGGAATAAAACACCCTTTAAGATGGTTGAAGTTTGGGTGAAGAACCAACAAACACGCAAGCAGATGGCGCACAACGAGGACTTTAATAATCCAATACCAACGGACTGATTCTTGATCAGATGGACGTTTCACAAAGAAACACAAAAAAAAAAAACAATAAATAAGAACAGATACAAGAATAAAGAAAACAAAGGTACAGAGAAACCCTAAAGCAGCACGAAGACCGGAGTGAGATGGACGAAGACTTTGGCCCCCAACCCAGGAACACACTAACACACTGTTTTCATCAGCTCTTCTGTTCGGTCCAGCCTTCACACACACGTTTCAGCTGTAGTTATGGCCACAACCAGCTGCTGAGGAACGTTTAGCGGGTTTAATAAAGCTCGGAGTAAACTAGTGTTAAACTAGCAGGTTTTATCAGCGCTGAACACATTTTAGACATATTTACATGTAACTAGTGAAGTTTTGGTTTCGGCTGCTCGTTCTGGCTGTTTCCAGTAGGTCGGTGGTTTATCCAGCCTCTGAAATGATGAAGCAGTGGCGGCGACACCAGAACAATCCGTTTATACGCTACACGGTTCGTAATGTTTGAGCTGAAACATACATCAAACAGAGAACTTTGGAATAAATGTTTTCCTCTTAAACGAACAACAAAAGCTTTTTATTTGGTTCTTTTTATTTTCTAAGTGTTTATGAGTTTCTGCTACAAACCAACGAGGAGATAAACGCGACACCCTCTCATGTCTGAGCTCCTACTGCACACAGCAGTTTTGCCCGTTTACGTCTTTGGAGCGGAGGCATAGTTTGGGCTTGTAGCTCTCCAGGTACTGGAGCTGCTTGGCGTTCAGAGCTCCACGACGCTTCCTGTCAAAACACAAAACAGGTCCGGCTCAGACTCCTCCATAACAGGTTCATGAAGGGATTCAGATGTCAGAACTCACTGTCTGATTAGATGGACCGCATCTTCGTACTCCATCCCACACTCGATCAGCGCTAGGGCCACCAGCACGGGAGCTCTGGGGGAGGAGGGGGTTACAAACACTCAACGACCGTCTGTCAAACCCGATTTTTAACGAGTCAAATCTTTGTTAAAGCAGTGATTCACACGCCCACTAACCAGAGATTAGACCGCACTTTCATTATGTCTACTACAGTGTAACACACACACACTCACTCACTCACTCACTCACTCACTCACTCACCGGCCCAGGCCAGCCACACAGTGCACCGCCACACAGCAGCCAGGTTCATCCCTGAACTTCACCTGCAGCAGGTTCAGCCAATCATCAACCACCTGCTCAGGTGGAGCTGAACCGTCATCAAACGGCCAGTCCTGGACAGAAAACAGTCAGCTCCACATTAGGGTTGTCACGGTGTGAAAACTTAACCTCACGGTTATTGTGACCAAAATTATCACGGTTTTATCGCGGTATTTTTTTTAAACGTGTTACATTTTCAGACAACTAAATAAACCCTGTATATCAGGAAAATATTGTCCTCAGTTTGTGTCTAAATTTGGCCTAAAATTAGTTATTTTGTAATTATGTTTATTTGTTTACGTTTTTCCCCTTTAGTCTTTAAAATACCAATATTTGCCCATAACTTCTTATTTTTTGTCTGTTTGATGTCATCATTTTAAAAATATTACATCACATGATACTCAGTACTCAAGTAGCCTTCTAACCAGATACTTTATTAGCCTTACTTGAGTAATAAACCCTATATCAGGAAAATATTGTCCTCGGGTTGTGTCCTTCCAGTGAGCTTTGCAGATGTGGGAAAATGTCATCAGGCAGTAATCATTGTTAAATTCATAATTATTCTCGGAGAGAGACCAACTCTTATCTGCCCCTGGGAGCCCCGTAATGCATAGCGTCATTTCAACATGGGGGTGTCCGCGACACGGTTTATATGCAGGTAGCGGCGCTGCGGCTGCTTTATATAGCGACTCGTTGCATTCTCCCTCAACCCAAATCCTCGGATCACGCATTTTAGCTAAAATGCTAACGTTAGCTTGCCTTGTGTTGACTGTAGAGTTGTGGGTGATGGTCACGCAGATGTGTCATGAGATTTGAAGCGTTGCTGCCTTTCACAGACACTTTTTCTGCACGTGCTGCAAACAGGATAGCCGTCTTCTATAAACTGTCCCTCGGCATTCTTCACATATCCAAAAGATGCCCGTACTTCCCACTTTGTCTTCTTTGAGGGATAAAAAATGTCCTGAGTGCTGCCGTCTCCTCCTTTGGCCGTTATTTCAGCTTTAGCTTCAAGAAAGTTTTGGTTGTAAACAACAAAGTGCACATGTGCCGCCGGCAACTTCAGCAGATGATACGGTGGCTGGTAAGGGTCACCGCGCCTACACCACAGCCACGGTAATCCACCGATGATATATATTTTTTAAAAACAAGATGGTTATTATTATTGTCAACTTTTTTACCGGGGTTTACCGCTACACCGGTTACCATGACAACCCTACTCCACATACAGCTGCTCTACACGGACATTAGATAACCCCTTCATATGAATCAGTTTAATAGTTTCCAGGTCTGAGAAAGTCTGGAAGTATCAGGTTTGTGTTTCCAGACCCTTCCGTGTTCTCCGGTTATCCTTGAAGCCTACAGATCATAACTGCTACAGAACAAGAACATGTTTGTATCAATAACCTGAAGATGGTGAGCCTCCGAGTCTGAAAATGAACAGAAATATAAACTAAAGGTTTGGATCGGATCCAGGTTGGACTCTTTACATTGTGTTGGAACCGTTCGTCTGTAACCGGATTTAATCTTTAACGGACCACAACGCCATTAACCTGTTTAATGTGTCATGTTTTTCCCAGAAGAGCAGGAATAAATCCCGAGTTTCTGTCTCTTACCAGGACTTGTATCCCTTCCTGTTCCACCGGAGTCTTGTCGTACGTAGAAGCACAAACTCTCACCAGAGTGTTTACTCCGTACGCCTTTAAATCCTACAAAACACACTCAGGTTACGTCTGGAAAAGCAACGCTAACTGAATCAGAGCACGTAAGGAGGCGGTACCTCTATAAACTTCCCCAGTTGTGCGTTGGTGGGATTGTGCGTGATGAGGAACCTCAGACAATCGTAGGAGATCTCCACCGGAGCCGGTCGGTTCATCTTTAGACCCTCAGGAACTTCGTTAGTAGCGTAAAAATTGTTTTTACTCTAGTTTCTAAAAAAAAAAAGATTTCTCAAATCCAAAAAGTACTTCCAGCTAAAAATCTGTTGCCTTGTGGGTAAAAAGTAAAAATGTTCTGTCTGATAAAAGCTGACTAAATAAAAACGTTAATGGCAGTAAATTAAAACTGGCTTGGTTAAAGACCAAATGTATAAATGTTTCAGAATGACACAAAAATAAAAGTCTACAAAAAGAAAACGGAGCTTCAACGTCGGAGTGTCAGCCCATTCAGAGACTTCAGCCAATCAGCAGAGAGGGAGGGAGGAAAGGGGCGGGCTCCACTCCTCCCAGGACAGTCACACACCAACGGTTGGCTTGTCCTCATATGTGATCAACAGGATGGCAGTAAGGACCTGGAGGACGTTGAAGGACATTAAACCTAGAAGGACTTTCCACACATTATACCTTCATGTCTGACTGATCCGTCTCTAACCTCATTAACCACAATGCTGCTGTGTGACTCACCTGTGAGTGTGAATGGCAGTGACTGGGCCGGGTCGCCTCCTCCTGTTCACTTGTCCACAATAACCAGCAGGTGCTGAGCTTGGCAAAACTCTCCTCCAAGCCTCGCAAACGCCATACATGTGCAGCCTGGATGAGAAACACCAATGAGCCGCAGGGCTGATGGTGAGAGCAGATGAGCAGAGAGGATCATGGGTAAAAACAAACTCACTGCGCTGACAGCTGAGGAGATGGGTCATTGAGCGGACACAGGAAAATGTGACGGCTCCTGGATGTAGACACACCATTGATGATGCTGCTGCGGTGTTTCTGGTTTCTGGCTGACACGAACTGTTAGCTTGGTGCTAACCTGCTGCAGAGAAGAAAATGACTCCTTCTACACAAGTAGAAACCAACTTCTGATGCTTGTATAAAATACCATAGAAGATTTAGCCAAATGAGAGCAGGATTTGAGTAGAAAAACACTGATTTAAAAGGTGCAATATGGAAATCCTGTGGCCAGATTAGGGTTGTCACGGTAACCGGTATAGAGGTAAACCTCGGTAAAAAAGTTGACAATAAAAATAACCGTCCAGTTTTTAAAAAAGCTATATTATCTCGGTGGGTTTACCGTGGCCGCGGTTTCGGCGCGATGACCCTTACCAGCCACCGTCGCTTCAGCTGAAGTTCCCGCGGCGCGCACACGCACTTTTTAGTTTGCAACAGCACCAAAACTTTGAAGCTGAAATAATGGCCGAAGGAGGAGACGGCAGCGCCCAGGACATCCATCAGCCCTCAAAGAAGACTAAATCGGAAGTATGGGCATATTTGGGATTTCTGAAAATGCTGAGGGACAGTTAATAGAAGACGGCTATCCCGTTTGCAGAACGTGCAGGAAACAAGTGTCTGCAAAAGGCAGCAACACTTCGAATCTAATGGCACATCTGCGTGACCATCACCCATGTCTCTACAGCCAGTGCAAGGTAAGTTAACATTAGCGTTTTAGCTTAAATGCATGACGTGAGGACTTTTGGTTGAGGGAGAATACAACGAGTCACTATATACTGCAGCCGCAGCGTCCTCTGCCAGCATTTAAACCGTGTCACGGACACCCTGTTGCTGGATGATGCATCTTATTTGTTGATGAAGAGAAATACACAATTAGTGCCTTGTCATTGATTTGTTTACTTGTTCAATGCCATTTATACTTGAACGTTTGGATTTGATTACATAGTGTAGTAGTTATTTTAGTAATTTGTTTAAAGTGGCTATTTATTTTAAATACATATTTTTTTAAGGTTGATTGTACAGTGGTCAAGTCAAGTGTGGACTGGAGTTTTAGATTTTCATTTTGATAATGAAGAAAACAAGTATATGAGAAAACAAGTGGTGTTTCTTTGATTTGTTTACATATTGTTTATGGTTTGAATGTTTGGATTTGTATCATTTAAACCTGCACTACTGTAACATGTTCCAGAAAAATAAGCTATTTGTTCCTTTACTTGTGAAAAGTTGCACTTTTGCTAAGGCTTTGTGTTATTTTAGGTTTAATAAACACTGTTAAACCTTTTCAAAACTATTTCAGTTTGTGTAGAACAGGACTATCAATGCTTTCTGAACATATGCAACACCGTTTAAAAAATACCGCGATAATACCGAAAACCGTGATAATTTTGGTCACAATAACCGTGAGGTTAAATTTTCATACCGTGACAACCCTAGGCCAGATTTGGTTACTACAATCATTCTCTCACTCCCGAGAGTTTCATGACCGTTGTCAGTTACGGATCAGCAACAGAAGATTCTAGATAACAAGCAAAGACAAGTCATGCACAGTATGTTGATAAGTAGATAAATACATAGTCACATCTGGTGTTGTTAGCACTCTTGGGCGTTTTACAGTAGGGAGCACTTACTACACTTATTACAGTAATCTGCCTCCTACAGAGGAAGTGTGGCTGTTTACCGTCTTGCTTTTAGCTCGCTGTTATAGTTCTGAACAACTCATTTAAAGAGCAAGTCACCCCAAATCAACTTTTTTTCTGATAAACTACATAAATGCGTGTCTAATCGTGCTGCAGACACATGTAGTCAATAGTTTAGCACTTTAATGCATTTTAGTTCAGATTAAAAATTTCTGCCTAAAACTGTCAGTGTTGTGCCGTTGTCAGGTAAAAACTCTGCACTACATTTGAATTTAAATCTGCCATTGCTATTGGCTAAGAGGTACCCTAGAACGTTATGGGCCATTCCCATCTGTACCGGGTCGGCCCGGGCCGGGTAGCCCCAGTCGGCCCGGTTGATTCCACACATCCTTGTCTTAAGCCCATGTGGGCTGATTCTACCCACCAATCAGAGGCTTGCTCTAATGGAAGGTGTGAATTTGCTGTCAGCAGTGGGTGTGTTGGCCCTGGTTGACCTGAAGCAGACCCCCTTGAGAAGAGGGCTGAGAATGAGCCTTGTTTGGCCAGGAAAAATACCAGGCCACCCAGATATGCAAACAACCTACGCTACCCGGCCCGGGCCGACCCGGTACAGATGGGAATGGCCCATTAGCTGGTACCATATGATGTCACAATGTTGTTGTGAACCTGTGTGTGTGTATTTGTTTGCGGCTCCACCCTCTAGGGTCTGCTAGGCAACAGCATTTGTTGCATTTTTCAAACAGGAAGTGGGAGTGGAGTAATACTCCGGTAGGGGGTGACTTGCTCTTTAAGGAAGTAAATCATCACTGTTGACTCATTTTTCATTTCACACACACATTTCACTGTAATATCGAGTCTTTTAATTCAATTTTAATTCAGTAACTGACGTTTAGCCTGGCAGGAGGGGTGGTGTCAGGCACGTTGCCTCGCTCTACTCTGGAGTGGAGTCTTTATTTCGGCAACAATACAATTCAAACAGAACTTGTGGTTAAATAGATATATTCGATTCATTTTGGACACTTCAGATAAAATCAACCCAAAAAGAAAGGTTTTAAGAGGTTAAAGAGGCAAGTTAGTCAATAAATCCATCCATTTGCTGCTGCGCGACATTTTCAAGCATTTACGGCATCTCGGGTTGCGTAGCAGCCAAACAACCAATCAGAGCAGAGAATCGCGCCCCTGCGGTTGATCGTCAACTAAACGAGCTCGTGAACCGTTATCACCAGCGTTAAAACGTAAATTCGCTAAAAGCAATGAAAACAGGAGGACGAATAATACATTTTAAGAAACTAATGAAAAATCGACCAAACGTTGAAGTGCCCGAAAGGCAACGGATTAGTTCTGAAACGACCCACTTTTCTCTTCACGTGAAAAATAAGGCTAAAAACAATCAGCTAGCAGATTTGAAACGACACAAAGTGGTAAAATGTACCAAGATTCACACGCCACAACAGGATTCAGAACCTAAGTCACGAACCTAATCAGCCGCGCCTCCTGCCACTGAAGCTCGGCCAACCAGGTCCCCTGTAAACGCATAAACAACAGCCCGACAGACCGACATGTTTCCAGCCGAACCGATGAGCCGAACGACACTTTCACGGGTTCACAGAGGGTACGGTGACCTTGTTAACACACACACACACCACCTTATACAACACCCACAGCCGTTCCGTCGGTAGCAAGCACCTGAAACAAAAGCTAACACTCACAAAACGATGGAATTTCCCAAAGAATCCAGACGCTTCTAGTGACACAGACGAATCTGTGAGAGATGCATGTTGAACAGAGGCGAAGAAGCTAGCAACAAAACTGCTTCCGTTTTCCGCCCTACAAAATAAAAGCGATACGGAAATACAGATAACTATTCCGGTTTGTTCTTTCACAATAAACGAACAAACCGTTAGAACAAGCCCCCTTGCATTACAATTAAATTATTTACTGAATTATTTCCTTTAACCAGTTATTTTGGGTTAACATGTCTTTTTTTAAATGCGACTGAAAATTA